GAAAAAAATTTGAAGTCAAAATTTTTTGGGAGTACCGAGTAGTTCTGATCGGAGTTCTGGACAGTTCTCGGCGAGTTCTGTCGAAAAGTATCAGGGCTCAAAGCGATTGGACCAACGGTTTCCGAGATATACTCTAAAAATTGTTGATCTTCTGACAAATGTCGCTTTATCTTGCAAACCGTTGGTCCAATCGCTTTTCCACCTTACTGTTTTCGATAGAACTCGTCGAGTACTATAAGAAACGCAACTCAGAACTAGTCGGTACTCTCAAAAAAATTTTCAAAGATTTCTACTATTTTTTTAAAACTTTATTATTCTTCAAAAATGTTTTTTATGTATCAAGAACTCTAGGTATTCACAAAATAGTTCTGTTAAGCTAATCAGAACTATGCGACCTTGAATTTCGTTAAAAAGTTAGCACCCCATTTTTAAAAAATTATTAAAAAATGATTATTAAGCGCATATGTGTCATTAAAAATCATAGAGAACTCTTCGTATCGTCAAAAAGAAGCAGGAATTATCATCAGAACTATTGTATCTAAAAATTAATTTTTCAAAAATTTTTAATTTTTTTTTATTATTCGAAAATTTTTTTTACATATCAGGAACTCTAGAGTCTAGGCAATCGCAAATTGAAGCTATTAAACTGCTCAGAACTATTCCACCTCGAAATTCGATAAAAAGTTAACACACCATTTTTTAAAAATGTAAAAAAAATGTTTATTGAGCGGAACTCTTGTTATTAACTGTAGGAAACTCTTCGTCTCGTCAAAAGGAAGTGGGAACTCTAATCAGAACTCTTGAGTACTATAGTTGGGGTGCTAACTTAACATACCCTAGGATATTTATTATTCTAAGTAAGAAAAAATTGATATGAATTATTGATAAAATTTTGCGTTACAGAATTCATTCGCACTAAAATTGTATCAACAGCGCGATTATCTATGCAATCATTTTCTTTTAATCAGAAATATTTTCGGATTTTCCAAAATATTTTCTAAAATAGTAATTGCCAATAGTAGAATTTAGATATACCTGTCGACCTTACTGATAGAGCTCTTTTGATGGTCGCTGCCCTTGGGACTGTATAAGATGAAGTACCAGGAGGAGCTGTTTCATGCAAGCGAACAGTTAGCATATTCTCGTCATCAAAACGTCAACATACGTTGACCTTTCGTTGGCGAGCTTCTCTGACAATATATTGTTAACAAAATGCAAAAGTAAAGCCGCATGGCGGTTAAAACTAAGCGTAAGTAAGGATTATGGCACATATTTCCCAAGTGCGCTTCATTTGCAGACCGGTGCTTCTGTGATATTCGAGTCAACACTGAGTCATAACATTCACATATATTTCGGGTGGAAGACGAGAGACATATCTCAAGTAAAATACATGACACAATTGGTTACATAAAAAGCTTTCTGATTTATACGACATAAACTAGCACTGCTATGTATCATCGTTTCAATATAATTAAAAAATATCGATGTTTAATATTTACACTCTAGCTAAAATACGTCTAACAAGTTTTATAAATTAAAAATAACTCGTTCCACGAATATTTAACGTATATTGCTACTTGTAATATTTGCATAAACAGCTACTAACGAAAACGGTTTTAGAGAAACTTGCTTGACTGTTACTTTTGCTATATATATATATGTATCATGCTTCCAAAAAAAAATAAAAAATAAAATTAAGAATATCAAATTGATGATATAAGTTGTAATAATAATTAAGGTAATATGTGATATGAGATTCGATAATATATGATACCTAAGGCAGAGGATGGTGTTTTAGCAGGCCCAAATTGACCTCTTTTCGGAGGCATGTTAAACCTTTTGACGGGAGCCGATTTGATCTGCACAATAAATTTTGTTTTCAAAACATTATTTCTATTCATAAACGTGCAATGAAGCTATAATTTTTCGAATTCGATACTTACCGCTGCTCTATCAAGTTCGTCGGTATCTTTGCCAACTGAAAAAAGAAAACAAATTGTTACAATCGTGACTTGGTACATTTTTCTTATTAATATATCATATAAAGAAAATTAAAATAAATTAGAATATTCCGGCAAAATGATCTACAGAAAACTGTATTTTATTAACGTCTATAATTTGCATTTTAAATCAATGTCAATGTTTTATTTTGTTACAGAATGCAACGTAGGCTCTCTTTTAGCACATACTTAGAAAAATTATTGATATCATCACTTAAAAAATATTTGTAACGTCAACTAATATTATAATCGCTTTATGTCACGATGATCGTCCTTTGGTGTGGCAGAAATAATTCATATACCTAAATCTGGATACAGCCAAGGTGGCTTATGGATGTCGCAGTGACATCCTCTCGCCCTTGCACCCGGATGCTTTACTATATTATCCCATTGTAGTATCCATCTGCTGCTCGCGTCCCATAATTTCTTATCAATACTGGGATACTTCTTTAATCCCCGACGTAGGCAACGGTGCCCGCCCGGTATTAACACGTCGGCGTCGTTCATCGTGACCGATGTATACGATATTTTAGTGAGCACAGCAAGGATAAATTCCTCCACATGTCGTAGAATTATAACGACGCTGACATTTCGCCAGCGTCATCATCATCTTAATAAACCAGTTGCGAACGTTTTTTCTCTTGTTTTTTTCTCTTTTTCAGTAGCACTGTAAATATCAACCTTGGAATAATATATCGTCGTAATCAAATTACTAATTTAAAAACATTTACATTGAAGACTTAAAACAATTTAATAATTTGCGACTTTAAAATATATATTTATCATTTCTATCTATTTACGTGTCTTTTTTAGAGAAGACTTCATAAACATTCTTCTTCAACTTTTAATCTAAACAATGGAAGATAAACAATCAATCGTAAAACAAAATTTTTAGATGCTACGACGATATTTTTTCGAGGATGCGATAGAGCCAGTTTATTGCGCGCGATTAGCCGATTTATCTTAACTGTTATGAGCACAAGTTCTTACATTTATAACTCTTTAAATTCATCGAGGAATTTTCGTTAATGAATATCGAAATTCACGAAAGTGTAAAAGTTTTGAAATATTGTGAGAAAACCGATGTACGTGCGAGCGATGTGCGCGCAATGAAAGTCTTCAGTTCTTTTTTTTCCGAGCTGCATCGCATCGAATTAATTTCCACATCCTAATTGGATTCCTACGAGCGTGCCTCATTAATTTACCGCTCCGCGCGAGCTACTCATTAGATCATCTAATCGAGCGCATCGGATGCGTGGATTTAACGAAGATTAATCGATATCGCGGATTTCGTTTTGCAGATTCATATAATATTCGTAATAAAAGACAATGACCCGATTTACAGCGGTTTCACACGCTATAAATTTCTAACATCATTATTTATTTTTAACAGTTATAGCTGTCGTAATTAATTTTACCTAGTTACAATTAAAATGTTTGCAAAATTACTTTGTCGATTAAATTAATTTGCATAGAACGCAAATTTACTTATTCCTTCCCGCTTTCTCTAATATTACAAGCTTGTAATTTTTTGAAGAATGCAATTCTATCTAATTGATAAAGATCATGAAAATCGTGTCGTCGCGATATCAAAAAACAACGCTTAATAAACCATCCAGGGAAAAATGATTGGAATTATTGTGGCGCAAACCGGCAATTTGTGGCAAACGGTAAGCGGCACTTATGTTAGATCTATACTATATGTATATCCTAGACTATCTCTATTTCTTTGTCGGATTTCAAAATAGTCGGCGTAAGAGTTCCTAATGTTTACTCTCTTGCCTTTCTCGCAAGCGTCGTATTATCTACTTCCCGAGCATTCTTTGCGGTCATTTCGCACGCACGCGCTCTTGCATTAAGAAATTCTGTAATACCCAGGTGCGCGCGTTTACGGCGATAAAGACTCCCTTCTTCTCCCGCGAGGCAAATGTGTGTATTCTCGGTATCAAGAATTGCCGTGTTACTCGAGTTCTGTTTGCATCTAAACCGCTAATAAACTTCAATTTCTATCTTACTACACTTAAAACCCAACAATGACAATTGTTCTGTCTTCTCGCAGCAATAATTAACGTTGTAATCTAAAACCCATGGTACATACAAAAACATAAGGGTGGGAACACAAATTCTTGCATAAAGCGTAAGAAAATTAACCAGAATCTTTTATAAAGAAAGGAAGAAAATGATGACTTTAATTGGTTCGTTTTCTTATGCATTATGCGTTATGCAAGACTCGTGCTTCCGCTCTGAAGCGGCATCTACAATGAGATTTTAAGGCGTAAAACTTTTTAATAAGCTTTCTACAATAAGCCATTATCTATGGCTTAAAAATCTTAAAATGTAATGAATTGACCAATAATAGTCGAGTATTCTACTTACATTTAATTGAGATTGGTCAATTTCTTACGGCTCGTGGCTTAAAACTTAAGTTTAAATTTTACGTTTTAAAATCTCATTGCAAACATCGCTTTAGGTAATAAGATATAAACAGTAAGGATTGGCCAATTTGCTTACTGCTAACGTCTTATTGTCTTGTTTTCCCGTGTTTCTGGCTTAACCTTTCAAAATTTGTATTGACGAAATGTCTATAATTGCTTAGAAATTATCGACGTGTCGTTAAGAAACACCGCAGGAAATCGAAGACGATAACAATTCAGGCCGTGTGAAAGATATGCCGGTTGACTTCTCCACGAAACCAGTTCAATGTTTTCCGATAACTTATACGAACGTAAATTCAAATACCTGGCATTAACAACAACGATCAATAGTCCAATAACTAAGCTAACTGTTATTATACACGTTGCTAATAATAACACCATCCCGGAATCGAGAATGCGATAGGTATACCGATTCCTCAGCCGTCGGTCGACGATCGCGACCTATTTATTAATACCTTCGATATCAACTTCAGTGTTCTCCGGTAACAATGAACGTGCATTCACACGCGTCACGTTATACGTAACAAGATCGGTTAATGGGGAAACCCATTTTCTCACGTTACAGATAGCATCGTCTCGCGGGCTTTTTGCTCTCGAGTTCCACCGTTCATTCAGATCTCCGCGCGCGCCGTTCAAATGTCCCGAGTTGCCGGCTCGCTGTTGTGTCGGGAAGTTTCGAAACCGACAGATATTTGCATGTTCTGACAATCTAGTTTCGAGTAAACTTGACGGGAAACGTACGCGTATAGTTATGCAACTGATGGCAGAGAATGAAATATCTATCTTACAATTATGCCCGTTTCTACCAATGTAATTTGACTTTAATCTTGGTTCAACTAATTCTTTTTCCTATTGTAGAAAAAGATGAAAAGTTGAACTGAGATTAAAGTTAATCTACATTGGTAGAAATGAACATTAGATGTGGGCGTAAGGTAAGCCAGAGAAAAAAGTTATATTAAAGACTAAAGGCCATGGCACGAAAAAATTAAGTAGTAAAACGCAAGCAGTAAGCGAATTGATGAATCACATGAATAGAGATAAGATTATAATGTAAGCAGAAACAAATGCGTGTTGATTTCCTTATTGTTTACGTTTTATTGCTCAAATATATTTGCACAGAAGTGTGCATGGCTCTAACAGACTTTCATGACTTACGTTATTAATTTTTTTCTATCTTATGTCTAAGACAGACTTAAATAAGCATCTCTCGTCCTCAAAAGGATATGTCCAAAATCATCGAAAAAACAAAAGGAGAAATACCCGAAATTATCAATTCATCGAAGGAACGAAAGTTGTAGAGTGAAACAAGTCAAACTAAAACGACGCGATAACGCATCAAGTTCCACTTGCAAGTGAAACGTGCTCCAACTTTACGTGGAGAAACAAACTGTATGTTTACGAACAACAAACGTTTCAATAAGATCGCGATATCAAAGAGATTTATGTAAAGCTATGTTCTCACTGAAGCGACAACGAGAAACTTTTGTTGATGTTTCTTGAACAAGTTATCGAAAGTTTCACGATGTTTCTTAATATTTCTGTCAGAAACAAAACTTGCTGTTTATCGTGTGTTTCCAATTCAAAGAAAATGTTCTCGGAATTTGGAAATATTTAATGATAGCAAGCGATAAAAAATTCCTCAATTGCACCCCAATGAAAACATGACTTTGAAGTACTTTCCAGCAAAAGATTAAAAAAAAAAGTGTGAATTTGCACACAGAACAATGTATAATACAATACAGTGAATCATTACATTACATCCTTGTTATTTGTCAATGTTAAATAAAGATATTAAAAGAATTATATTATACTGTACCTCTTGAATTACCAGCTGTATTCTTGTAAGAGGAACCTTAAAATAGTTTAAACCGGTCAACTTTATATAAAAGATAAAAAAGGTCGGAAAATTACGGTTTTGTTATCGGCTTCTGACGTCGATTAGCAACAATATTTACTTTTGTATACAAGTTTCAATCGATAAAACAAACGACTTTAGGAATCCCTTATAAGAACACTTTTTTTTTTAGTAAAATTTCTGGTTACTAATTAAAACTTTATATGTATAAAATTAAATATCAATACGAATTATCGATAAAAATTATGTTCAAACATTCTGATCAATTCGTATCAATCAGAATTCTACAAGTAGATTATAATCAGATGTCCAATTGTGACAACCGGAATTCTGACAGATACGATCAGAATCTTGTGGTTGGTTTATTTTTAATCAGAATTTTTTCTTAGTATCTTGCTGGAATGCTGGAAAGCACCGTTAAATTATAGATAATTTTCAGCCTGACTGAATGTCCACTTGATTCATCTCGAGGACATCCAATTAACATTATATTTTTTTCGGAACGGAAAAGGAAAAAATATTTGGTGGTTTACGTCGTTTGCTCCTCGAATCATTCATGCAAAGACAATCGTGTGGTTATAATAAAAAAGAAAAAAGAAGAAAAAAAATCTTCGTACTTCCCGGAATCGGTTGCGTCACGCGATCCGACCTCTATTACACGCAAGCCGATTACCGCACACGTGCGCGT